GAAAACATTCTAAATTAAATTCTTAATATTTTTGTTCCAATTTTATAGCCGAAATCAAACGTGTGAGCAGTAACCACATACTGGTCTCTCACTGGAAGGTTTTATGTTGATGTCCGTTTGATTTAAATAAAAACTAAAAGCTTGCTTGCTGCTTGGATGTTATGCTTCCCTCAGCCCAATGCAGTGTCATCAGATGTCTTATCAGGAGACATCCATTGGTCAGCATAAAGGTGCCCATACACTGGCCGAATTTTATTGTATCGGCCGAAATTTGGCCAGGGCATGGGGCTGTTGGCTCCCTTTCAGCTGGCATTCCTCGAACAGCTGATCGAAGGAGCCGGCTGGAAAATCTTCATACAATCAGAGCCGGCAGGCAATGTGCGGCCCGCTCTGAGCCGGCACCTGTCAGAATACAATGCAAACAGCGGCGATTCCTCGATCAACATGCTGTTTGTGTTGATGGAGGAATTGCATCAATTTCTCCTGTTCAGCCCGCTGGTTAAATGAAAGAAATTGAAAGCTGTATGGCCAGCTTTAGGCCTTGTTCACACCGAAAGCGTGTGCGTTCCAGAGCAATAGCTGCTGGAGCGCACTGCGATCGCTGAGAAACTTCCCCCCGCGTTTTGGGACGGGAGGGGGCGAGGCAGTGCATTATATTTAATGGCAAAAAAAAATCCGCTGCAAACGCAAAAAAATAGAGCGAGCCCTATTTTTTGGGTTTGCAGTGGAACGGAAGCCTGACAAAGTTTTGCCACACGTCAGATCGCACTGCGGGTGGGGGGGAGGGGTGCGTGGAATCGGTGCCATTGAATTTAATGCACCTCCACGCCCCAAAACGCGGGGGGAAGTTTCTCAGCGATCGCGATGAGTTCCAGCAGCTACTGCCCTGGAACGCACACGCTTTTGGTGTGAACAAGCCCTTAGGAAAAGTAGCTAGCAGTGGTTGGTCATTATCAACTAGAGTTCTGAAATGTTGAAGATGTTTCACAGCAGACAATGACCTGGATAAATGAGCAGTATCATTTATATATCAAGGCAGAAAAGTCATTTTGGGGCTCACTGTGAAATATGCCCAATGCTTCTAGTAAAGCAGATTGGGTCTGTCCCATTGTAGCACAAAACCTTCTGCAGATAAAATCCAGGATCTTAATATGAAATAACATTTTGAGTACTGGTTGGTGGAGTATACCCTGTTAGAGAACTATGGGGAGGAGCTTGGTGTTGTGGCAGTAGGAATACTTCATCTTTGTGTAGGAAAACAAAGTCCTCTACTCTAACCCTAAAGCTGGCCATACACATGGCAACTTTCAGGGATTATTTACCAGGACTTAAAGTGATGATGAAACTCCTGTGCATGCTTGCTAGAGTTACATCCTTCCTCCTGGCTCCATTCTGGTATTGAGAATGGATACTGAGTGTACACTGCACAGCAGCCTTAAAGTGACACTAAACTCAGGCGTTAAATCTTAACAATCCATTCAGGTACCTTAACAAGGGATACTGATACTAGTATTGGTGCCGATGCTGAGTATACTCGCCCAAATGCTCCGATGCCTAGCCGATACCTGAGCTTCCAGTATCGGGAAGCCGGGCAGCGAGTCATTGCATGCTGCCCGGCTTCCTGATTGGCTGGGAAGCCGGCTTCATGCTTCCTCTTCACTAGTGTAATGACTTGCTGCCTGGCTTCCTGATTGGTCGGGAAGCTGGCCAATCAGGAAGCCAGGCGCCGTGTAATGACTCGGCACCTGGCTCTCTGGGTGGCCGGTAAGCCGGCTTCATGCTCCCTCGTCGCCTCATGACGAGAGAGCATGGAGCCGGCTTCCCCGCCAATCAGGAAGTCGGGCGGTCACATTACATGGTGCCTGGCTTCCTGATTGGCCAGAAAGCTGGCTCCATGCTTTCTTGTCACCTAGTGACGAGAAGCATGGAGATTGCTTCCCTGCTAATCGGAAACCCGGGTGGTGAGTCATTATACACCGCCTGGCTCGATGAATGGGTCTTCCGTTATTGGTATTCGGTATCTGCGAGTACCGGAAAAAAATTATTGGTACTCGATACTGAAAAAACAGTATCGGTGCATCCCTAACCGTAACTATTAGCATAAAAGTATCTTATTTGTGTATCACTCGGCTGTAGATCCTCAAATCATCTCTGAATTGGTGCTGACACTGTCCTTCCTTCTGGACGGGGGCTACTTTTGTTCCCCATGGTCCCTGTGTGTCTTTTGTAAAGTAATCCAATATAGAAGTGTTCCCACTGCACTCCTGACCAGAAAGTGCCTGTAGCCTATGGGTGGGTGCTGCAGTGACTGCAGATGGTGCCGCCAATCAACCCATATGAAATTGAAGTAGTCACTAGCACTCCAGAGTTCCTGCTGTCAATTCCTCTTGACATACAAGCGTCTCACAAGGTGTGGCAGCTTTTTGGAATGTCGGTACCTTCATCAGGCAAACAAAGTGATGAAAAATTTGCAACCCCAAGCTGTTATGTAATCAACCCATGGAGAAGCTATAACTCTAAGACAAGAAATTCAAGGGGAAAAAAACAAAATACATGTACGATATCAGTCATCTTTCTGGTAGAGGAGGTGTCAGGAGTATGTATCCATAATGCTTCCCTGGGGCATAATTGTTTCTCTTAAAGGGGCCAATGGTCTTATCAACGTATATAAAGGCACATAGCCATTTAAGTATGTAGATACAGTATTGTATTACAATTGAAGTGTCCTCTGGTGTATTTGTTGCCCCTGTGAGGGTGTGGAAACTGTTCACCCATGATCAAGGTTTTGCACTTGCAGCATGTGTAACAGCCTGTCTTTTGTGATATCATATATGTGGGTTTTATGTAGGGATGTCCCGATGCCGATACAGGGCCTTTCTCCCAAGTATTTGTACTCGTGAAATGCCCCGAAACGAATGGCCAAACTTTTTAAACAAGAGCAGGTGTCTGAGGTTCCGTGTTTGCTGGGGACCTCAGGCAGCCTGCCAGTCCAACAGCACATCACCACCTGATCCTGCCCGAGACTGGCACAGCAAATGACAGCTTCACAGCCCTGGAGCCCAGCGCCCACCTATGCACCCTGGTGAGACCCACACGCAGCCCTGTATAATTGCTGTATAATCATGGAGTAATGATCTGTAGTCCTCTAGTGCTGGTTGGCATTCTACATTGCTCTGTAATCATGGATTGAGTTAGTTCTTCATAATTATAATTAATGATGCACTCGATGCCGGTCTTTCGGTATAGTGTACTGATATTTATCTTACTCGCTGGTACGGATTCTGGTACTTCCGCTTGCATGGAGCCTTTTTCCTGGCCAATCAGGAAGCCGGTTGGCGTTTCATTACCCTGCTGCCCGGCTTTTTGATTGCCTGGGAAGTCAGCTCCATACTGTTGGGCCAGTATTCTAAATTGATAGAACATCGGCTGGATGCTGATTGGCCGGGAAGCCGGCTTCCTGGCCAATCAACATTGAGCTGGCTACCCGCCGCCCAGCTTCCTGATTTGGCCAGGAAGCTGGCTCCATGTTCCTTCGTTGCAAGTTCAAGTATCGGGGCAAGTATTGGAGCATTTGGGCGGGTACAAGTACTTGCCCAAATACTCGGTATCGGCACTGATACTAGTATCGATGTATCCCTAATTATAATGAAACTGCCCTAAAATTATTCGTCTGTATTGTTTTAGAAACAAATTCACTTTAAGGGAAAGTACTTGGTCTTGAAAAAACGGTTTCGGGACATCCCTAGTTTCATGTATTTGTTCCTTGGATCAGCTGGTACAAGATAATCTTTCAAGGATTTATTGCGGTGGTACACCTGTAGTGGTATGTGTAGATTATCTGCAGATTTTCTGTGGTCAGATGGAAAAAGTGCAACAGATTCCTCCATCTACGCTAAACTGTGTGGATGGAGGAACCTCCCACTGGGCCAAGCTTCAGTATCTTGCTAGTCGGCCCCGCTGGCTCTCAAAACACCTGAACAATCTGATTGGATGCAGGCATTGTTCAGGTGTTTTGAGAGCCAGCGGAGCCGACTAGCAAGATACTGGAGCTTGGCCCAGTGTGAGGTTCCTCCAGTCACACAGTTTAGCGTAGATGGAGGAATCTGTTGCACTTTTTCCATCTGACCATAGAAAGTCTGCAGATAATCTAGAGGTGTATGGCCAGCTTTAGTGTCTTATTTGCTTGGAGGATGTTCATGTTGTGCAGTATGGATTTGTGTACTGCTTGTGATGCATTATTATACACTATATTACCAAAAGTATTGGGACATCCCTCCAAATCATTGGATTCAGGTGTTCCGTGAAATTTCCTTGCTACTAAATATTCCACGGTCACCTGTTAGTGGTATTATAACAAAGTGGAAGCAACCGGGAACAACAGCAACTCAGCCACGAAGTGGTAGGCCACGTAAAATAACAGAGCGGGGTCAGCGCATGCTGAAGCACACAGTGCGCAGAAATCACCAACTGTCTGCAGAGCCAATAGCTACAGACCTCCAAACTTTGTGTTGCCTTCAGATTGGCACAACAACAGAGAGCTTCATGGAATGGGTTTCCATGGCCGAGCAGCTGCATCCAAGCCTTACATCACCAAGTACAATGCAAAGCGTGGGATGCAGTGGTATAAAGCACGCCACCACTGGACTCTAGAGAAGTGGAGACGTGTTCTCTGGAGTGATGGAAAAAAAAAAGAATATGGACACCGCCACTCCAACAGCAGATAGAATACGTCTATTTATTTACATACATGCAAAAAATTAGCATAGCACACTTAGTGTGACGTTTCGGGGTCACATAG